GAGTTCTCTGGGGCGGTCAGGACCCTGGGGTTTATAAATAATGTGGTGTAGGTGAGATTAGCCACTCTGTGTCTTGGACTGCCAACACCCGCAGAAATTGTGAGCTCAGTTTCCTCTGATGCTTTCTTCAGGGTTTTTTGTTGTGGGAGCATTGGCCTTTGGTTCTCACACGTACCTAAAGGAGATGCAATAGACTTTATATCTGTGTTCCAGCTGCCAGTGCACCTCTAACGAGGGAGACTGCAGGTGTTCTGGCCAACATACGCTGCCATGAGACTTCTGCACTCGTAGTCCTGCTCCTCTCCACAGCTGAGCCCAAATCTAAGATGTGAAATTTGGATTCTTCTGATACTGCTTCCATCTTGCATGTGAAGCCCAGTTATTCCGAATATGTGTCTCGTAGGTTTATTTCCCTCTTGTGTATGATGGGTGGATAACAATAATGTAGTAACCATAACATGAATCAGAAGCTGGTTGTTAAGCTATGTCATTGCTGAGGCGGTCTTCTAAAACTGTAGAAAACTGAGTGAGGGTTTCCAGACTTTTAGCCTCCATGCTTTTCTGTAGACATAAAGGAAATGTGTTTTCTTGGGGTTTGGATGGAATCTACTGCTTGTACATAACATTGTCCTAACTCTATAATTGGCTTCACTGCTGATACTCCAGACAGGTGCTGTCTAACTGTGTGTATGTAAGAAACTCTATTAATTGTCTTCTGATCAAAGTTTGGAGAATTGTTTAAAACAGTCTTAAGCACAGTTAGTCCTAATTTAGATAGAGCTGCCCCAGCGGCAACTGAAAAAAGTGAAAGGTGAAAGAGGGGTTTGTGGCAGAGGCTTCAGAAGCACAGAAGTCCTTGCACGTTTCTCAAGCGCCAGCCTGGAGCCAGTCAGGTTTTGTGTCCATTCTGCTGCTACTGAAAGCCTGTTTTGGAGCTTTACTCTGCACATGCCTAGAAATCTCTTTCTAATTTTCATGCTAAACTTCTTGGCCAGATATAGCACCTTTTTTACCTTGTTCCTTGAAATTAATTGGCTTCTCTTCTCTAATACTTACCCTTTAATTTATTTCGGAACACTTACAGCCCTGTCTCTTTTCTTTCTAGCCAAGCTAAGCAAATCAATCTTTCTTCAGGCTCTTCATATTCCGCAGTTGTGTAGAGGTTTTACATTCCTGCCATAGACTCATCTCATTTTTGGATGCAGATGACAGGAACCGTATCCACTATCCCAGTTAAGTGCCTTCTGTAACAGCTCTCTTCTCTTTCTGTGAGAAGGACTGCCTAATATAACATTTGCCACTGGTTGCTGTTTCTGATGCCTTTCTTGCACAAGTGACTGATTGCCACCTATTTGTAATTTTTCTTATCTTTATTCTTTCCTAACACATTTTTTCTGAAGTCCTATTGTTATTGATATCAGAATAATGAGTTTATAGTTGTTTGGATTGCTTTGTTCCATTACTTAAATATTCTGCTACTATGTTGGCTCCTCCAGTCATAAAGTCATGTTTGTCAATTTGGGAGGTATATTACAAGATTGATCGGACTTTTCACTTTTCTTTGACTAAAAGAGGCATTTTCTAGAATTCAAACCAGCAGAGTGGGCATCAAGAAAATCCCATAAAACCAGGAAAAAACTTTTGGTTTTGTTTTGTTTTGTTTTGTTTTTTTTAAATATAAATGGAACATATTAATGCATGAAAGAATCAATTCAACAAAGAAACCCCACTGCAGTGGAATAATAATAATAATTTAAAAAATACTTTAAGTATGTCAATTACCCATGTATTAGCTGTTGGAATGGACGAGAATTGCTTCCTTACATTCTCTGTTGCCCTGGAGGTTTTCTGAGAACAGCCTATTTCAGAAGGTAAAAGAGCACATGTGACTCTTGCCGCCAGTGTCTGTGCATGACTTCAGTCCCAAATAATGTAGTCTCTTAGGGAGTGGTAGGTGCTCCATCATTATTCATGGCTCTAAAACTGGGTTCAACAGTAGTGTAAGGTTTAGAAAAAGATCCCACGGGTCAATGAGAGTATCAGTCAGAAATGCCTTGGGCTTAATGGCCTAGCAAGTAAAACTGAGGCAGTACAGAAAGAAAAGCATATCATTTGGTGACACGAGCTGCTGAACTAGCAAGAATCAGACTTGAAAGGAGTAAAATTGTATGGTAAATGGCTGAGATTTAAGCAGATGTTCAATCAAACAGCAAATCTTCTGCATCTTTAAATAAGCAAAGCAGTACTTAAAAGCAAGAATAGTAGGGAAACCAGAGGTGCAGACAGACTCCACTTGATCTTCTCTTTCCTGGACGTGAAGATACAGTACTAGACACTGATATGACAGAGAGCGAGGTACTAGAGCAAACTGATCATTTAGATGGCACTGGTGAGCAGGTCACTTACACCAAGAGGGATTTAAAAGAGGGATTTCTCCTCAAAATCATTAAAACAGTTCTGGTTCTAGAGGAGTGTATAACAGCAAATGGCACATGCAGGCTTTTAGAAGAACATAGACAGATGATGCAAATTTACAATGTTGCATGTATTCTTTGTAGATTTTTGTCTGATATAATAAAAACAAAACAAGAAGTGATGCAAGGTCTGGTAAGCATGTAAATACTTTCTCTAGAAAGGAAAGTCACTTCTCTTACACAGCTGTCCAGAAGACTAAGCAGCAATGATACTGGAGTAAACCTGTGTTGTAGATCAAAGTTTGTCTGAAGTGAAAGTGTAAATAAGATGAATCTTTTTAATGTGAAAAAAAAAAAAAAAAGAAAAAGCTAACCGCAGGGAGGGGTGAGGAAAGGGCTCAGAGTTCAGGGCTAGATCCTCTTCATGTAGTGTATTTAGGATGTGATAAAAGGAGGACGGGAAGGAAAAGCTGGAGATAATATTTGAAGAAAATGTCTATCTTGGAAAATGGTGAATAAAAACCTCAGTATCAAAGACAGAAGAAAAGAAAGAAACTTACTCTCTTTTTGACTGGAGAACTTCAAATGCTACCAGCCTGCCAGACTTCTTGCTGTTATTTTCTGCCTGTATTAGGCCATTAGAAACTCATAGTACTCCTGTCATTCTCAGCCTCTCCTTAGTCTGAGTTCTTGCTGCTGGAGAGGGAAGGAATTGCAGGTTAGGTGCAATAGGGTGCGTAGAAATGCTGAGCAAAGACTTGAGCAGCAAGCAGTTCTCAAAAGCCAAGCAGGATCTGAGGATCTGAGCTGTGGGCATACATGCATGTGTTTTTTAGGTATGAAATTTAACTTGAAGCCCTAGAAAAGAAACATTGTGGAGGTTTTAGGTTTTAGTGGGTTTTTGGTGTTTTGGTTTTTTTTGTTGGTGTTTTTTTTTTTTTTTTTTAACATTTTTAGCTCAGCTTTCACCTGAAGTATGGTTCTGTTCTGAGAATTGATGAGTCACAGGTGGTACCTCTTGTTCAGCAGTGCTCATCCAAAGGAAAAGGCTGCTGTAAATTTAGAGAGGCGTGGGCTTGTCAGTGCTTGCTGCTTAATACAGTGACCAACTCCTATGAGATCAGAAGCCGTTTTTTTAATGGCTGCAAATGAACCGGATTTATTTCTTGGGTTATAGACACATCATCCAAATGGAACAGAAAGTTCATTCCACTGGCAAGGGCTGTGACTTCTCAGGCTTAGGGCTGAGAGCTCCTGTGCGGCAGCTGCAGGAGTATCTCTTACCACCATCTCCTGGAAGTCACCTAGAACTACAACCTCTGTCAGAAGTGCTTGGTAGTGCCTTAGGATGTGCAAGTAGTAAGTCAGAAAGGATGTCTTAGTGAAACGTGTGCTGATGAATATTATCTTCTCTCTTCAGCCCATTTGTCAGGCAGCTTATAATAACGATTTCAATGAAGTTCAGCTCCTTTTGGAGCGCAACAGCAACTATCTGAACATCCAGGACAGCTTCGGTGGAGACACCCCCTTAATTTGTGCATGTAAACAGGGAAACAACAGGATAGCTAGCTATCTTCTAAAAAGAAATGCTGATGTCAACCTCAGAAACAAGGTAAGCGGCCACCGACTCCTCCTTTGCAACGACTGTTCTTTCAGATTCTTGGAGTGTATGTGTGGGGACACTGGCAAGCACAGCCAAACCTGAGGTTTGTTTCCAACTGAGGCATAAGTATAACCCCCAAATTATAATTCAATAAACCTATATGTTTCTGTTTGTCTCCTCATTTATTTTCCTAACTTTCCAATGCATAAAAGATAATAAACATTGCCAACCTGAACTTCTCTCTGTGTTCACGTTCCCCGTTTAGGTAATACTGCATGCCATCCCCAGTTGCCAGTGGATTCTGCCTGCTTACCCATGCAGCACTCTGCATTCGTCTTGCCCTCCAGCTTGTATTTGTCCCTTCTGTAGCCTTTCTTTCCCTCTGTCTTTTTCTTCACCCTGGTTAGAAGGAAGGTCTGAAGGAGAGCCTGTCCATCTCACAAATGTATCCCTGCGGAGAGAGAGACTCTTAAGAAAACCTTCTTTATTCCCTCTGCAGACCAGCTTTTGTCACATTATTTGACACATACTAGCATGCTGGGCGGTGAGGAAGGAAGCCTTTGTCTGTTCTTCACCTGTTCCCTATTTTAAAAAACCTACCTGCCTTGCACAATAGCTGTGACTAACTATTTTCCCTAAGGTGATGAGGAAGTGTGTTTTTGTGGTAGATTTCCTTGTAGGTTACAAATAAAAAGTAGCCAAAAAATGCGTGTTCTGGCTTCATTACTAATTTATTCTTAAGATGTTAAAGGCGATAAATAGCCAGGAAAAAACCCCACAACATTGTCAATTCTGTTGTATCATCTCATACTCCAAGGCAATGTTTAGCAAGTTCCTACCCATTTACGTGCTATCTTATATCTCTGGTTTCCAGTGCATTTGTTTATTTCATAGGAGGGCAGCAAATGTTCGTGAGGTCAGAGGCATTTCTCTCCTATCTATTCTTCTTGATGCAGATGGCTCTCCATCTTCCCTCAAAGTCCCTTTGAAAGGGTTCAGTGTGTTGCAGTAAAATCATTCTAATTGCATTGCCAGCCATTTGCTAGCTGTGCCTGGCTTTCTTAAATGCTTCTCTGCTTCACCTTCACAGATGGAATCAGGCCCTTGGGTGCAGAGCTTGACTGTGGGGCTCAGGACTGAGAATGGGGAGCAGAGCATGACACAGAAAGGCTTCTCTGCTTATTTTGGGCCCCAGTGTAACGCTGTAACCTAGTTTGTCAAACTCTAGTTCGACAACCTGTAGGAGGTTTAACACAAGTGTTCTTTAACACGCAAGTTGAAAGCTCTACCCTTTAGTTGCTTTGGTACAATCAGTATTCAAAGATTTTTTAAACTCTCTTCTCACTAGGAATCTGCTGGCACTGTTGCTACTTGCCTGTGTTTCTCACGTGTGCCAAAGGAGATGCCATAAACTCTCTCATGTCTTTGCTTCAGTAACCAGCACCTCTGTAAGAAGAAGAGCTGTGGGGATTCTTCCTGCTGGTTTAACTTGCTGGGCAGTGGTAGTAGCCACTCTGCGATGTCCACTCTGCCCTCTTTCCCCCTGCAGCCATGTCCAAGTTTGCAGATATACACATGGAATCCTTTGGATCCCACATCCTTCTTGCACGTGTAGCCCGATTTCCATGAGCCTGGGATGCGTTAAATGTGCTTCCACTTGAAGGAAGCAAAATGCATGTGTCTGTTTCTGCTTGAAAATCAGAGAAATATTTCTAGTAGATAACCTAAAAGAAAGCTTGTGAAATATAAAATGGTCTACTGTTGTCAATATTAAACAAATATAAACAGATCACTGAATCTGGTACTAATCAGAGTTATTTTGTATTTAGAAAGACCGCACTTGTCTGCATTACGCTGTGAGAAAACGGTTTACCTTCCTTGACTATGTGCTCATCATAATCCTCATGCCAGTTTTGCTTCTTGGATATCTTCTCATGGTGAGTTTGGATGAAAGCAGGAAAGCCCCCATACCTTTCCCTTTCCCCTTATCACCTTTCTCATGGCAGTATTTCAGGCCAGAAACCTGTATAAAATATGGAGTGCTGTTTTTAAAGCAAGGGCTGATGGACAGCAACAGAAGAAGCAGAGATTTTGCTGTGAATATAGCTAGTGAAGGAACAGAATTGTATCACTGCATCAGTCTGGCATTTGCAGAAGTCAGACACTCCTCTTTTTTGAAAATAAAAAAAAAAAAACACCCAGTATTTAGCCAGAATCTACTTAGTACTATAAGCAGGTGAAATGTCTTACTGTGTTACTTTTTCCTTTGCACCAAACAGGTCTCAAAGACTAAACAGAATGAAAACCTGATCAAGATGTTGCTTAGAGCTGGAGTGGATGTTAATGCTACAGACTTTGTAAGTGGGTTTATACAAATGCAAATGTGGTTTGTATGCATGCAACATTACTAAAAACAGACTTCAGAATCTTCTGGCAACATAGTCCTGCTTTCAGAGTAGGATCAGGGACTGAACTGACTATGATGTAGGAGGAGGATTCAGTGTTTCCCCTTGACACTTAGGCAATAGTTTTGTAATGTACACAGAAATAATTCTCCACTGATTAACGAGTTCTCCCTTTCTGACCAATGCCCTCTTAAAAGAAGCCAGGCCAGCTGGGTTGAGATACTGATCTTATAAAGTTTCTAGGGATATAAAGGTCTGAGTTTATCACCATTTAAGAGTTCTTGGACTGGAGCAGATTTGTGGGCAAAGGTTGTGCCGCAGTGCTAGACCCTGTGTCTTCTCTTGATCTTCAGAGTGCGCTGATCTGCCACGTGTAGAGTTCTGTATCCACTAGCCTACTTGGGTGTGGTAAAGAGCTCCTCTCCTCTAAGGCAGAAAAGAAGAACCCCCATTTTTAGCAGCACCAAATTCTAAAACACTGAAGTGTGAGCAAACAGTATTGCTTAAGACATAGTTGTTGAGATTAAGATCACGGAATCTTCTGAAATTAGTAAAGAATTATTGGCTTCCTGATAAAGGTAACAGACCTCTTTTAGCAGCTGCATTCTGGGGAAGGAATTTTTTTTTTGTTCCTGTTGCCCTTATGAGAATGTATTTGTTTTACTGTGTAGTGTATTGTGACAGGAAATGATATGTGTCTTTTGCATCCAGCTGTTAGGGGGAAACTGATAAGGCTACAGGTGGTCATACTTGCCTAAGGTCTACTAAACTGATAAAGGTAACAGACCTCTTTTAGCAGCTGCATTCTGGGGAAGGAATTTTTTTTTTGTTCCTGTTGCCCTTATGAGAATGTATTTGTTTTACTGTGTAGTGTATTGTGACAGGAAATGATATGTGTCTTTTGCATCCAGCTGTTAGGGGGAAACTGATAAGGCTACAGGTGGTCATACTTGCCTAAGGTCTACTAAAGAATTAATAAAACTAATTTTTTTTTCTTCAGTCTGGTAGCACAGCCCTTCACTATGCTTGTGAAATGAAAAACCAGGCAGTCATTCCTCTACTGCTTGAAGCTCATGCAGACACTTCTGTAAAGAATCAGGTAAGAAGGTGAAGTTGATAACTGTATTTCCTTATCGTGATGGTGAACCAGTATGTTGTAGGCCTTAGCTGGTATGCAGCAGTTTAAAAAAAGGGTGCACAGCTTCCTGGCAGCAGACTTGTTTGCTGTGTGGTACAAAGCAACATTTGCTCCATTGCCTTTGCTGGCAAGAGCAACTTTAAAGTCCAAATCCTTCACTGCTGGATTTCTGCCAGTAAACACTGCCTGCATGTCCACTGGATTGGCAGATCTCTTAGCTATCTTTACGGTACCTCTTCTTAACTCAGAGCTGCTCTACAGTTGTTCCTAAGATGCAGGCTGCAGGGGAGTGGTAAGAGCCTTCCTAGGTGCTTTTTGTGCCACTGGACACCATTCTTCTGAGGGGGGCTGTCGTGGTTTAACCTGGCAGGCAGCCAAATACCACGCAGCC